TCTGCAGGCAAATATTATCTTGTCGATTCTGGTTATCCAAACCGGACAAGGTACTTAGCACCATTCAAAGGCCACCGCTACCACCAACAAGAATTTCGACGTATTGCACGGAACAGGACGGCAAACACGCCAAGGGAGTTATTTAACAAAGTGCACTCGTCCTTACGCAGTGTGGTGGAACGCACCTTCGGTGCCTGGAAAAATCGATGGGGGTTTATTCGAGACATGCCTCGGTATAACTTTGCAAATGTGCAAGTTCAGTTAGTAGGTGCGTCAATGGCATTACATAATTATATACGGCGCAACACAGGTAACCCAACAACTGTTCACCCAATCTGCGACGAGGAAGAGGCTTTGACAATAGTAAATGCCATACCAGAAGTTGAACATGACGAGAATGGTTTAATGGTTGGGGATGAGGACCTACATATGGCATTGGTGCGCCTTCACATACGCGACAAATTATGTTACATGCGTAATAATGGGATGTTAGGAAATATATAATAGTCGACCTAATTTCCGTAGGGTTGTAACATTACTAATGACACACGTGGAACAGACTGTATTGAAATATATTATCATGTACAATATGTATGTGTCTACACGGGGATATACCCCCTTCCAGTTGGTGACGTGCCGCACTCTGAAAAACCAAAATTCACAAGATCGGAAATGCTTAATCCATTTTTTTAAAATGTAAAATAAAAAATGAGAGTGAATAAGAAAATGACAAAATCGTAAATTTTTAAAAAAAAAAAACGAAAAAAATACGCCTCATTCAAAAACATTTAAAAAAAATAACATGAAAACATAAATCATCATTCGCCACGTAATTTACAAATAAATGAAACACATAAATAACAAAAACAAGTGCTTCTATACCAATAAAAATAAAGAAAAAGAACTAATTCATGTGAAAAGAAAAAAAACAAAGACAAAAACATAAATTTTAAAAAATAAAAAATAAAAAATTTTAGCAAAATACGCCAAATCCAAACCCAAAATAAAAAAATTAAAACAAAAAAAAAAACAATGAAAGCAAAAAACGCCAAATCCACTTCCAAAATATTTTAAAAAAATGGTTCGAAAAATACACCAAATCCAAACCCAAAAAAAAAAAAATTAAAAAAAACAAAATACGGCAAATCGAAACCTAAAATTAAAAAAATTAAAAAAAACAATTAAGCAAAAAACGCCATATCCAAACCCAAAATTAAAATAAATAAATAAATAAAGCAAAATATGGGAAATCCAAACCCAAAATAAAAAATAAAAAAAATAAAGCCAAAAAGGGCAGTTTGGTAATTTAACAGGATGGCACCTCACCAAAAAATCAAAAAGTCAAAAAAGTCAAAAAGTCCTTCCCAAACCAGGCTTTTGAGCTCTAGGCTCACATAGCCAAAAAAACCAAAAAGTCAAAAAGCCAATCCACTTCCCAAACGGAGACTAAGGCCAAGTTTGGCATGTCCAGGAAAAGTCAAAAAGTCAAAAAGTTACTCAAAAAGTTAAAAAGTTAACACTATTCACCAAAAGTCAACAATTACGGCTACATAACTCCTAATCCTAATTTTTTCCTACAAATCAATTTTTACAATTTTTTATTACATATTTTTTCATAAAAAGTCAAAAAGTTAACCCAAATATTTATATTTTCTTCCTCAATTTTTTAGTCCAAAAAGATAAAAAGTATACTTATTTAGGACACCCCAAACAATCCCTAAGTTTCAAAATTATAGATATGGTTAGGTGTGTTAATATTTTTATGTTAGGTATATTTCTTAACTTTAAAAATAAAAATAAAAAAGTTTAGATTAATACTTTAAAGTTTATAGAGCTTATGCTATTATAATATATAGATACAGATAGAGATATAGATATAAATTACATACTAAATTTTGAGGAAGATTTATTAATTGAGCTAGTTTTAACATAGTTATCAAGACTTTGCCAGGTTTAATCATTGTTATTGATATATAATATGTAAATTATACTATGTAGTGTGTATCCTAACAAGAATATCAAATAAATTATTAAAATTGACATAAATAATATATTAGGTTAGATAACATAGATGGCAGAAAAGATATAATGTGAATATTTATAATTTAAAAGTCATAAATCATGCATTTTAAAATCCATAAAAGAATAAAACTTTGAAACTTTCATGGGCCTCCTTATTATAAACTTCATTTTGCTTATATAATATAGCATAAATTACGTTGACATTTCATGAGGTTTCAATTTAATACGGATCCCTTTTGATGTTTTAGAAATTACACTTTCCTCTTTGTCAATGTTTGTTTTTTAACAGAACTAATGGAAAAAGTGTAATGACATTAATACCCTCTACTAAAAATATTAATTTATAGAATTACCATCTACTCTCTCACCGCTACACTATGGGTTTATAGCGGTGACCTACCTTTGTAATCCCATAAAAAAAAAAAAATGGCAAATTTAATATCAGTGGTCTAGATTTATTTAAAGTATGGGTTCATAACACTTAGGTGGTGTTTGATAAAGCTGAAAACTAAATATTGAAAACTGAATGCTTAATTTGTTAAACTAAAAATTGTTTGATAAAAATTTAAATGCTGAATTAAAAATAAATTGTTTGATACGTATTAAATCAAATTTGTTGTTGTTGTTGTTTTTTGTTTTTTGTTTTTTGTTTTTCGTTTTTTGTTTTTTTCCCAATTTGTACATTTTAATTTTTATATTGTGATGGTAGTGATGGTAGTGGTAAGGGTGACGGTGGCATAGTGGCAGTTGAGGTAGTGATGGTAGTGATAGTAAAGTAAACATGGTATTTATAACAATAATGACAATGGTGATGAAAGTGATGGTAGCAGTGGTGGTGGTGGCGGCGGTAATGACAGCGATGGTAGTAGTAGTAGTAGTGGTGGCATGGCGGTGATAATGGTCGTAGTATGGCGGTGATGGTGGTCGTAGCATGGTAGTGATGGTAGCAATAGCAATGGCGGTGGCGATTGCATGATTTGATTTTTTTTTTTTTTTCCCTATTTCCTTTTTTTTTTTTTTTTTTTTTTTTGGGGAAAACCAAGCCTAGATTTATTTAAAGTATGGGTTCACAACACTTGGGTGATGTTTGATAAAGCTGAAAACTAAATATTGAAACTGCATGCTTAATTTGTTAAACTAAAAATTGTTTGATAAAAATTTAAAAGCTGAATTAAAAATAAGTTGTTTGATACGTATTAAATCAAATTTGTTGTTGTTGTTTGTTTTTTGTTTTTTATTTTTTTCCCAATTTGTACATTTTAATTTTTATATTGTGATGGTAGTGATGGTAGTGGTAAGGGTGACGGTGGCATAGCGGCAGTTGAGGTAGTGATGGTAGTGATAGTAAAGTAAACATGGTATTTATAACAATAATGACAATGGTGATGAAAGTGATGGTAGCAGTGGTGGTGGTGGCGGCGGTAATGACAGCGATGGTAGTAGTAGTAGTAGTGGTGGCATGGCGGTGATAATGGTCGTAGTATGGCGGTGATGGTGGTCGTAGCATGGTAGTGATGGTAGCAATAGCAATGGCGGTGGCGATTGCATGATTTGATTTTTTTTTTTTTTTCCCTAATTCCATTTATTTATTTATTTATTTTTTTGAGGATAACCAAGCAATATAAATATTAACTAAGCAATAAGTCTTACATCAGTAGTAAGTTTGTGAGCACAATGAACCACATCACGGTCCACTTTTTGTAGAACAACATAATCAAAAGATTTACACAAGGACAAAATATCAGCAAGAATGGATTGGAGACTCCATTCGGATTCTTTGCTTAGTCCTACTGCTGCTGCTCTAATTCCATTTATGAGATTGCAGAATTTTTTATTTTTGAATGCATGTCAAGTCAATGTTAGGTGGGGTGCAATATTTTAGATTTTTCTTTTTTTTTTAGGTACAGTTAAATAGTTGGTATTGTTAAAGCAGGGTAATTAAAGTATGTAAGGTTGTGGCTGGTTTATGTAATACAGAGTGCTCTGGAATGAATGAAAAAGAAAATGATGGATAAAAGATCAAAGGTAAATATGGTATTTTAAAAAGAATTATTGTTGACATAAGCAAATATTGGCCTCGTTCGGGAAGTGGCTATTTTAGAAGCTTTTTGGCTATTTTAGTTTTTGTGTTTGAGAAGATGAGATGAATTTTATTTGAGTTGTTGTATTGAAAAATGTGTTGAACTGATGTTTGAAGTTAAAATGACAAATTTGTCCCTAAAAATATATATTTTTAAATTGATGTAAAGGGGTAAAATCGTAATTTACTCATTGATGGAACAATTTGTGTAGCTGACCTATACTGTCGGCAATGCAGTCTATTTTATTTATTTACTTTTTTTTGAAAAAGCTTTGAACAGTGGGCTTTTTGGCTAAATTTTCATTTGATGTTATAATAGCCTCAATCTATTCTTCCCAAACAGCACCATTGTGTGTTGACTTAAGCCTATTTTGGGAAGTGGGTTAAAAGTCACTTCCTAGCTTTTAACCCACTTTCCTCTCTCACAAAAAAGCAAAAAAAAAGTCAAAAAATATTTTTAACCATCTTCTCAAAACACCATTTAATAATTGTTTGATAAATATTTTGGGGCTAAAAAATACAAAAAAGACAAAATAGACTATATAAGTCAATAAGATAAAATGTCACATCTAAATTATAATCAGTACACTTTTTCTTTTACAAAAATCAAAAAAAATCCTAAAACAAAAACCAAACAAAACTAAAAAAACCAAACTAAAAAAAGTATCAACACAAAAAAGTTGACTACCGTAATCAATGCCAAATAAAGCTTTAACAGTTAACTAACATAAAGTACAATTAATAATGCAACTTTAAACCTTGAAGCGGAAGTTGTAATTTTTAAAATGTGCAACTTTAAACCTTGAAGAGGAAGTTGTAATTTTCAAAATGTAAGGAGAAAGTTGTATTAATTACAAACCTCAAGGGTGTCAATCTAATTTACCCTTATGATATATAGATTTTCCATTGAGAGAGAGAGAGAGAGAGAGAGAGCTTTTCGAAAATGGCGTCGATCTACACTCTCATCTCCCATTAGCCAACCTGGAGAAAGAAAAAATGGAAGCAGCACCACCACAATACGCGAAGCAGCGATCGTACGGAGGTCCACCAATAGAGATGATGACAAGACAGCAGGCGGCATCGTCGCAGCAACACTCCAATGACAATGACAACGATCGCAGCAGCGGAGAGCTTCGCGCCCTCGACTGTAACCTCACCTCCCTCTGCGACCACGTCCAGCTCGAAGGCTTCAACAATGGCTCTTTCTCTGACATCCTCGTCCACGCTATGTCCTCCACCTACCGTCTTCACCGCCTCATCCTCTCTCGCAGCTCCTACTTCAGGTCTCCAATCTCCCCTCTTTTCTTTTCTTTTTTAATTTTTTTTTTAATTATTATGAACTGTTGTTGGTTCGTCGTGTAATTGGAACATTGGTTATTTATTTGCTCGTAATTGTTGTTGTTGAATTCCAATGGTTACTGGGTTGGGTTTCTTTGTCTAATTGGAATTTTTTTTGTTTGGTTGAATTGCACTCTGCCCATTATTATTTGTAGGCCTTTGCCTCAGAGAGGAATGTTCTAATTACTCGTCAACATGTTTATAGAAAACTGTTGTTTAGGTTACACTAAGTGGTATAGTTTCATATGATTGAGGATAATTATTCCGTCTATCAAAAAAAAAAATAAATAAATAAATAAAGAAAAGAAAAGAAAAGGCCAATGGATAGTTATTCCATCCGTGCAAGATTTTTCAAGTTTTGTGTGGTAGTTTTTATCTATTGAGGGGGGCCAAATTGAGCAAGGTTGGATTGGGCAAATCGCCCATATGCATATGCCCTTGGGCCGGGTGACCAGACTTTCTTGGGCTGAGCTGGTCGATGACCCTCGATGTACTGGTGGGCAGGCCTTGGATTGGGGGCTGGACACAGGTCCAGGAAATAAGCCGGCTTGGATTGGGCTGATCCCTTTGCTGAGAGTAGGACTAGTAGTGAGCCAGGCAGTCCCAGATGAATACCAGCCAAGACGAAGGGGGTAGGCTGGATAAGGCTGTCTGTCTGGAATTACACGTCATAAGTCCCAGAGATTTCTCGAGATCATAATGAGAAGGCTCTGTTACATGGGATAACAGATTGCCTTACATAACGGAATGGTTGTCCTCCCCTATCTAGGGATAATCATAACCCATCTAGGGGGACACGTGAGGTAGTTATCCTTCTTGGAGAGCTAGGGAGAGAGAACTTTATAAAAGGTCAATCTCATCCTATTTGAGGGGACACATTCTTGACTCTAATTTTGTTCATTTCTCTACATGTTGTGTGGTTTGAAAATTTAATAAAGTCTACAATTAGGTGAGGCTAAGGATTATAATTTCTTTATCAATTGAAGAATAAGTTCATCTATAGAAAATATGTCAATGTGTGTCTCCCATGTACACTAGAGGTTCACAAAAATAAAACTCAATGCTATAATCCCTTCCCAAGCCTAAGCTATCCTAAAATTTGACAAAAACAAAAGGACTGCAAAATGTATCTTTGAGCAAAAAATGAATGTGAAGAAGCCAAGATAACTTAGCTGATAAAAGAGAAGCAATTAATCTTCTATATTGTTCCCTCTCTATCTGCCTGTGTAATATGCATATTATTTGCCTACATATACATCTAACACATTGACATCATCTTCTAAGCCTTTTACACCCTCTTCAAGTGACATTCATATAATCACATGGCCAACACTCAAAGCATTGATGCCAGCATAACTAAAACCCTCCTGCTACATTCATCTGGCCTCCATGAATCTTGGGCACTGGGGGCATTGGATTGGGTGCAAACCTATTCTCCAGCCTTATTTAAATAAAGCTGTTAGCTTTTATAATTGAAGCGATGTTTTCACATGCATAACCTGATATTTTACAACAGTGTAAAGTGATGGCCCCTGCTCACATGCTCATATGCACACACAGGCACACACAAATGGCTTCCCAACAGAAAACATATGCATATAAATAGAGGTCGAAAAGAAAGACGGTGTGAATTTAGACTATTATTAAGAGCTTGTGATAAAATTGTAGCAGTAGCAAGATGCTTACGTGTGCTTCATGTGCACTAATCACACCAATTTTCAATTTCATGACAGTTTACTTATGACATCTGAGGTTGAGTAATAGTTGTTCTCTTTCGCCTTGACATTGGATTGGAACAATTTCCTTTAAATTTCCATCGTCCAGTGTTATTAAAGGCGCGCCTAGGCCCAAGTTCCATTCTGGCCCAAGGTTTGTGCCTTGTAGTGTTCCAGGTCAGGCATCTTCGATAAGGTGCGCCTAGGCTCAAGTCCCGTCTAGGCCCAAGATTTGCGCCTTGTAGTGTTCCAAGTCAGGCGACTGTGATAAGGTGCCTGACTAACCCAAGGCTTGCATCTTGAGGGTTTTTTTTTATTGTTGCTTTAATTGATTTTGTTTAAAATTTTATTATTGATTTAATATGATGTAGCTATAGAAGATCCCTACTCTTATTACATATGCCAATACATTAGGCGTTCAACCCCAAATCAATAATTCCTAATCTCCAAAAAACACTAAATGGTTAACATTTTATTTTGTTTATGTTGAATCCTAAATTATTTACTTATATTAAGTTATATATTTTTTTCCATACAAGGTGCGCCTCACTTCGGTGAAGCCTGTGCCTCATCTTGCGCCTTGAGCCTAGGCCCCAAGAGACCTAGGCCCAAAGAGACCTTGGCGCCTTGGTGCACTTATCGCCTTTAATAACACTGCCATCGTCAATCTACTCCTTCTGTATTGTCCAAAGTATGGAGTTTTGTATTCATTAATCTTATTCCAACTTCTTTCATTTTATTTCACTCAGCAGTGCACTTCCATTCTTCAGGAGCTTACTCAAATATGAAGTACTAAATTACATGTTTATATTTGGAGTCCCATGTTTTGTGTTCTTTCTCTTGCAAAATTTGTTCTGTATTCAAATTTTATGGGTTCACCCAAGGGTGAAGATGGTTTTTGTGTGCATAGCTCTGAATTATATGTGATTAATCACTCATTTTGTTTTTGAGTAACACTTAAAACTGATGGTTGCATGTAGCTAATATTTGTATTTGTGCATATGCATGTTTTGGTGTACATCTATGATTTATTTTTGTATGTATAGAAGAAAGTGTTTACAACTCGCTATGTGCAATTTCTTTACTACCTGTCATTTAATTTTGACTGGCAGGAACATGCTTCATGGTCCTTGGAAGGAAGCTAATGCTCCAACTGTGACCTTGCATATTGACGATAAGAATGTTAATGGGGAGGCAATTGCAATGGCTTTGGCATATCTTTATGGGCATCACCCCAAGCTTAATGATAACAATGCATTTCGTGTGCTTGCTGCTGCTTCTTTTCTTGACCTTCAGGTATTCCATACTCATTAGTTAGTGCAGGTTTCTTGTGTTTCTTTTATAGTTACTCCAGACATAGGATAATGATGTTAATAGATCTTTCTGTCATATCAATCTTCAATGATGTAATAATCACTTCCTTTGTGTGTGGTTTTGCATGCAGGATTTATGTGCAATTTGCACGGATTTTATTATATCCGAACTGTGGACTTCAAATTTCTTAGAATATCAGGTTCAATATGCTTGTGTGGGCTTACTATACATTAATTTTGTGCTTCCTATTTTATTGTATTAACTGCTTTATTTATGATTTAGATTTTTGCAGAGAGCCAAGATTATGGTATACATGGAGAACGTGTTAGAACTGCATGCTGGGGATACCTTTGTCAAAGTGGTGCCATGGAGTTGAAAGAGGTAACGGGTAGAGATATTACATTCTGGTGTGCTGGTTCCGTGTCGAAGATTTATTTTCTATCATCATATGGGATTGCTGTGGAAAGAACGACCCTAGTGGTTGATTACTGGGGAGTAATAGGATGGGGTGATTTAAACATGGTCTTTTGACAGACTTTTAAGTGAGGTTATACTGTAATTCTTTAAGACCTTCTATGGGGTGGAGCATTTGGGAGGTGGGGAAGATAGGATCTAATGGACTGACTCTAGTTTGGAAGGCTTGAGGTCAAATCATACTATAAAAAGTTGATTTGCAATTCAGGTGAAACTTTCCCTTGGGATGGCATTTGGAAGAATAAAGTTCCTACCCTTCAGTTGGTTGGTTGCAGCACTAGGGAAGATGCTTACAAGCAATTGATAATTTGTTAAAAGACCCAAAGTTCTTCCTACTTGGTGTTTGCTTGTTCAAGGAAGGGGAGTAGGTAAACCACCTCCTTATTAACTGTAAGGTGGCTGCCTGAAGGAAGGCATAGGCGGTGCCTCCCCTTGTGTTTGATGCAGTGCCAATTGGATGTGTGTGTGTGTTGTTTGCGCGGGGGAGGTTGAGTAATAGTTGTGTTTAGAGATAATTCCCAATTTTTTTGAAGGAATTGAGGCTAGTTTATTAAATGAAGGGTAGACTTTTTTTATATTGTTGGGTTACAAAAAGGGTTAACCTTCTTCAAATTCAATTTTGAATTTTGTTCAGTATGGAGTTTTCATGACATGTAGGGGTATAGTAATATTTCTAATTTTATTTATTGAATTTTTTTTAGTAATAGTGCTATATAAATATTTTTTTAATATTGGTGGTACCCCTCGTTTTCTTTTATTAATAAAAAAATTATGTTATATGTTTAAAAATTCAAATGCTTGGATTGTTTGAGTTCGTGGAAAAAATTCTATAAACATGCATTTGAAAATGGAAATTTATCATCTGAAACATAAATACATGAACATATGAATGGAGGCATTTGAAAATGGAAATTTATCATCTGAAACATAAATACATGAACATATGAATGGAGTTAGAAATAATTTTTCTTGTTCTGGCTCTTTTGGGTGAAAAATGTAACTTCTTGTGGAATGTGTTTTTGTTTTTTGAAAGATGGCAGCGATACTTGTTAGCATATGAAGCATTGTATGTCGCTCTTCTGAATTAAAGTCACCAAAAAAGCAGGAAATCTTGTTTTTATGTTGCCTTTGGGACTAGCACTTTTATTTTGCATCACTGTTTTACGTTGTTTCTCTGATGCTTTAATCATAAATGAATTTGCTTTTCTGTCCAATATCTCAAAATATAGGTTTTGAATCTTTGATGTATGAAGTGCAAGTATTCCCAACATGATATTTATTTGTTGGTGTATTTTCATTTTGCAGGGTGCTAACACACACACACACTATTATACTTATGAAATGTTTATTAGTTATAATATGCATTATTAATTCTCCTTTTGATTATAGGTGCTTCCGAAACTATCTTCTCAAACTTTGCATGCATTGTTGACATCAGATGAACTGTGGGTACCTAGCGAAGAGAAACGGTAAGGAGAATCTGAACTGCTTCCTACCTGATTTATATAATTTTGAAGTTAAATTCTGTTCAAACTGGATAACACATCTTTTTCTTCTAATTGAAAGGTTTGAATTGGCATTATACGCATTCCTTGCAAAATGTTCTTTTTGCAAAGGAGAACATCCAGAGCAAGGAAGTTCATCTTCTGAGATGGGAACAAGTACTCACTCTAGTTCTCCTAAAGTAAAGGGAAAGAATTTGATTGATAGTGGCACTAATAAACAATTGGAATCTGAACTGGGGTGCATGAGTTTGAATGATGACCTTGAAGGTCATAATGCTGCTCATAATATTTTGGTTGAACTTGCGGACTGTGTGGTTGATTCTCAAACTGGGGTTCATAGTTCAAGACAACAGGTGCAACAAGGTTCATGCACCAAATCACATATGGAGCCAAGATATCATTGCAACATTGAACGGCATTCATCAAGTAACTCATTTTCATATACCGATGATGTTAGATCCTCGTGTTCTTATCTTGAAATGCCAATTGGTATTGGAGCAAGTGGATTAGCAGGTGATGGTGGTGTTATGGAAGGGCCATCTGAAGAAGGATCTTGCTACCAATTTAATAACAATAGTTGGCTTTCCAGGGACCAGAGGCACTGCAATTCGTTGAATTCTTCATACAATGGGTTCATGCCCAATGAATGGGGAAGATGTGGCATGCCTCCTCTATCATGGGGTGGCAGGATTGTGGGTCGAAGACAGGTAAAAGGTTATGCCAAAGGGAACTGTGGGGTGAGTGGGGAAGAATATGATTCGTTTGTCAATATTTTTGAAGGAGGTTCTCTTTTATATTGTAATATGTCTTTTGAAGCACTTTTAAATGTGAGAAAGCATCTTGAAGAATTGGGGTTCCCTTGCAAAGCCATCAATGATGGTCTTTGGCTGCAGGTCTGAAACTCATATCATATTCATTTCCATGCTTTGTTAGTTGCCATGTTTGGGCTAACATCAATTAGACTCTGACAGCACTATTGTTTTTAAAATGCATATCTTGTAGATGCTTTTGAGCCAACGGGTGCAAGAAATCAGTGCTGACACTTGCAAAAATTGTTGCCTTGTCAGTATGTCATGTGCATGCAGGCAACAATTTGGGTTTTCACATGGAGTTTCTGCTCCTGGTTATTGTGTGCAAGAGCATGATCATAATAATCAATCAGGCAACATGGGAAATGTTTATGTCACTGATTCCACCCAAGGTGAAGGAAACGGCCTCTTTAGGCCCGTGAGAGTTCATGTTAGGGGGGCTATTGATGGACTAGCCGGTATTGGACGTGGAACCACATTTGTGCCCGCAACTGCTTGGCCTCCAACACGTTTTGTCTTTTCTCGTGTACCATATGGTATGGGCAACCGAAACTGCCAGCAGTCTCTTGCCAATGATGATTCAGAGGCTCGAGCTGACCACAATGGGGACCTGACTGGGGATGGGTTGACAGCTTTGGTTGGGCTCAGCCAAGGTGTGAACATGGCCAATGCTCCTGGAGATCAAACAGATAGAGGGTATGAGACGGATCTACAAAGCAGATTGGCTGGACCTTCTGTTGCTGGGCCTAGTACAAGTGGCATTACTGTGCAGATGCTAGAGTCACCGGAGCACACCATTGGAATTGAGTGGGAGAATGCAAACAGTTCTATATCCTTGGATATGAAAACACCTTTGAATCACTTCCCTCCCTTCCGCTTTGCGTAAGTTATTTCTTGGCGTGCTCATTAACTTTTACACTTTTCAAATCAATTATTTTTGTGTTGTGGGAGGATGTGAAATAAGGCTGCTTCCCTGACCCTTAAACTGTTCCGGACAAAAGCAAGGCCAAATCTTTCTTTTAGTTTTTGGGTACTGTTGTGCTTTATGTTTGTTCTTGTATCTCTAGCATCCGTAGGGTAAAATTTATTTGATGGGATTCTACTCAAGTTTTAACTGCGTATTGAATCTTATTTTCTAGTTTCAATGAGCTTTCTGAATGATCAAATGACTTGTTTTATTTATTTATTTTTGAGGTTATTTTCTTAAACAAAAAGCCTTCAATATATGTGGTGATAATCCGATACTGTTTCCACAGGGTGGAATTCCAGGATGTGCACAGGCTCAGTGATGGCCAAGTGAAGCACTCTCCAGAAGTATTTTATGCTGGTTCTTTGTGGAAGGTATTTCATATCCTCTAGTTGATGCTGTTGTGATAAATTTGTAGATCTATCTCTTGAATGTTATAACACCAAGTTGATTTTATGACCTCCCAAAATAGAGGAATTATTCAGCTTGCTTGTTTTCATTTTTCAGAAAACACTTTTCAGAAAATTCTACTTTCTTATTTTTCGTGTTTTTTTGTTTTTACTGAATTTTTTTAATATTTTAAGCAATTTTTTTACTTTTTAAACACACCTAACATAAATACACCTAAAAAGTAAAAAAATTGTAAAAAAAATCTTTTAAAAATTCACTAAATACCAAAAATACAAAAAAAAATACAAGAATTCAGTACATTTTTTGTATTTTTATGTATATATTAATTTTTTAAAATATTTTTTCACAAATTTTTTACTTTTTAGATAAATCTAACTAAGGCGCATCTAAAAAAGTAAAAAAAATGTTTAAAATTTAAAAAATATTCACTAAAAACAAAAGAATACAAAAATCAAAAAACTCAATTTTAAAAAAACTTAATCGAAAAAACTCAAACCAAACACAATGATTATTATTATTTTGATTAATTGGATCTGTTGAATCATGTAGGTTAGTGTTCATGCTTTTAATGATGAAGACCCTCAAGGACGCAGGACTCTTGGTAATATTCCACCTAACTGAAGCATTTTGCCTTGAAATTGTATTTTTGATGCTGGGCAAAAATTATTATGTTGTCTTGCTTGGTTTCTTGCTTCTAATTCTACGCAATATTTCAGGATTATTTCTTCATCGACGGAAGGCAGAGATAACAGATCCCCTTAGAAAGGTCAGCCTTGTTCTTGTTTCTCAAAGCATGATGCAATCTATTATATTACATAACATCTGTGAACATGTGTTTTCTTATTAGTTTTTCTTTTTCAGTGACCAATCACCTTTTCTCCCCCATTCTGTAATGTCCAGTTGCAAATTAACCAACTTCCTGTCACATATACATCGAACTTTCATTTGCTAGTGTACTTTTGATAGCTATTCAAATCTGTTAATTTTCTCTTATACTTTCCAGAACTAATGTTGGTGCTAATTTTCTCTTAAAATCTGCTAGTGTTGTTTTACTTTTCAGAACTGGGGTATTTCGTTCGTATGGCCACAAGGGGTGGCCAGGTTCGAGCACCCCTTGGGGACATGGGGTTTGGGTGGGTGGGAATTGTAATGTTGTTTTACTTTTCAGAACTGGGGTATTTCGTTCGTATGGCCACAAGGGGTGGCCAGGTTCGAGCACCCCTTGGGGACATGGGGTTTGGGTGGGTGGGAGGGTAGGGTTCGAGCCTATGGGCCACCCTTAAAAGGGTCTAAACCCTGATCCTTTTCGCTCAACTACCAAAAATAGAAAGTATTTAGTTATTGATTAGTATGCTTTTAAAGTTCATGTGTTTTTGTGTTCCTTCTGTTTTCAGGTTCATATGTACATGGATTCTCGTGAAAAGGTCACTGCACGGTATCAGGTGAGTTTAAGTTAGCATCAACCAAACTTTTTACCGATGGTGTTACTCGTGCAACTTATCTGATAGTATGGAGTTCTACTTGTGCTTTCATCTCACAGTTGATTTGTCCATCAAAAAGAGAGGTCATGGTGTTTGGAAGCTTGAAACAGACGGGAACTCTTTTGCCTAAAGCACCCAAGGGATGGGGTTGGCGCTCAGCTTTGTTATTTGACGAGCTTGGCGATTTTCTCCAAAACGGGGCCTTGCGAGTAGCTGCTGTTGTGCAGCTGGTTTGACATTGTAAGGAAGTTCAGTTGCATTTTACGAAACGCTTGTTTTATTAATGTAATGTTTCTCATGTCACATGGAATGTGTAAAAAATATATATTTTTTGTTTGGCAATGAAAAACAATTTATTAAAAAAGTGAGCAAGTAGAAGAAGAGGAAGTCCACCGAAATCAAGGCATGATCCTCACAATCCACAAATGGCACTCGAATCTCTAGAAATTAAAAATGATTAAAAACAGGTGCCGAAACCCAGAAGCCAAATAACAATCTTTTATCAAATGTTCTCCATATTCACTGCTCTCCTAAACTATTCTAGCATCTCTCTCTCTCTATATGAATATTTTATTTAAAAATAAAAAAAATACAATATAATAATACTGTGTGCAAAGCGTGTTTGGGTCTAAAAAATTACTTACCCAAAAAAGGGTCTAAAAAATTAACCAAATAATTCTGATTAGTGTTATGCTTGTTCTTGGGTTGTGTTCCTCTGTAGATGGCACTGTTTAGTTCAGGACTGATGCTGCGTTAGTTGGTTCAGATGGGAACCTGAGCTGAACTGTGATGTTTTTGCCCCTAGTGAGTTGCTTCACCAATGTGACTATAAATGGAAATTTATACCTCATCATTCATTTATGATATTAAAATCTTAGTTACCTTAGTAATTTGTTATAATTTCTATGCTCTGTTTGGTTCAATAGAATAAAATGGTATGGAATTATTGTTTCATTATAATGTTCATTTTTACATTTGCTTCACTAAAAAAATGATGAAAAATGTAGTACAAATAAGATTATCATTCACTACGATAGAAAAATAGTTAATTCCCCTTTATTTCATTTTGTAGAACCAAACACTACTTTAGTATCTCACATTCCAGTAGTTTTGGTGATTTATATTTATTACCATATATTGTGGCCATACATGTTGTAAAGAAAAGCACATATTTTCTCTACGCAATAGCCAGGATTATAATGTTATAATTAGTGTCTAGAGATTTTTTTCTTGGAATTTTTTTTACATACATCAATATTAAAGTTATATATGTGACCACTCAACATACTTGGATTGATTGACAAGGAACAAAGAAGATGAAAGAAAGCGCAAAATTATTCAACAAAATTGAAAATGAATTTGCTAAACCTAATAGAGTTGGTCTGACTTTACTTTTGAGCAGGATGAAATCAGGATTTTATTATTGGATGGGCCAAAATTTGAATTAAAAATTTTCACCCTATACACTATGTATATATAATATGATATGTAAGTTATATATGCACAAAAATAAATAAATAAATAATTCAAACACTGTGAAAGTAATTTGGTATTGGATGAAGAAGTTTTTTTTTAACAAAATAAAAAGAGACTATAAGGTTGGAGAATGATGAGATATATAATTTTTATTGAAGCAAACAGTATCATTTACAAAAAGATAGGGTCATGGTTTTCATAGTCTTCTCTTAGTTTTACCCTTACTTCAGAGACTCTGTGGTTGATACTGACTACTTTATGACTGTATTTAGTTACACGTCTTTTTCTTCTTTTTTTTTTTTAAATTCCTTTTCAAATTCTCCAATTAAACACATTAGAGGATTTGATGAAGAAAAAAAAAAAAGGAAATAGAAGGAAAAAAAAAATTAAGATTTGAATTTCAAATTATATTTGGTGGAGTTGAAAAATAAAATGACTCAAAAGATAAAAAGCGAGAATGTATTTCCTTTATTAATTCTCATACAATCTATACATGCATGCCTCTATAATTGATCCAGTTAGAGAGGCATATTATCCTCTGCTGCTGCTTTTTAATAAGATTGTTGCTAATGTGTGGCTGCTGATGCATACTGCCTCTTGCTTACCCATACTCTCATCATATATATATATACATATATATTATTCATCTTATTATTGAAAGAAACATATTTCTCTCAAATGTTTTTCCCCCCAATGATAAACATCAATAGGAGTTAGTAGGGATTACATGTTAGTTGGAAAGTAAGAATTAAAATTGAATTCATAATCTCAAGTAGCAAGTTGATTTTTTTAGTTTCATTTAACTTTCTTTAAAAAAATGTGTAAAATTATAAATATGTGATATGATTTGAAAAAATCAAAAAATTAAAAAGTTGACTCTTATCTGTGTTGTCAAAATAGACCCTGTTTTGATAAATTTGTAGATCTATCTCTTGAATGTTATAACACCAAGTTGATTTTATGACCTCCCAAAATAGAGGAATTATTATTTTGATTAATTGGATCTGTTGAATCATGTAGGTTAGTGTTCATGCTTTTAATGATGAAGACCCTCAAGGACGCAGGACTCTTGGTAATATTCCACCTAACTGAAGCATTTTGCCTTGAAATTGTATTTTTGATGCTGGGCAAAAATTATTATGTTGTCTTGCTTGGTTTCTTGCTTCTAATTCTACGCAATATTTCAGGATTATTTCTTCATCGACGGAAGGCAGAGATAACAGATCCCCTTAGAAAGGTCAGCCTTGTTCTTGTTTCTCAAAGCATGATGCAATCTATTATATTACATAACATCTGTGAACATGTGTTTTCTTATGAGTTTTTCTTTTTCAGTGACCAATCACCTTTTCTCCCCCATTCTGTAATGTCCAGTTGCAAATTAACCAACTTCCTGTCACATATACATCGAACTTTCATTTGCTAGTGTACTTTTGATAGCTATTCAAATCTGTTAATTTTCTCTTATACTTTCCAGAACTAATGTTGGTGCTAATTTTCTCTTAAAATCTGCTAGTGTTGTTTTACTTTTCAGAACTGGGGTATTTCGTTCGTATGGCCACAAGGGGTGGCCAGGTTCGAGCAGAAAATTAATATTCTAAGAAGTGATAGAGATGGTGAATATGAATCACCTTTTGGTGAGTTTTGTAAAGAATATGGAATAATTCATCAAACTACCGATCCTTACTCACCTGAACAAATGAAATTGCTGAAAAGAAAAATATGACTTTAAAAGAAATAATGAATGCCATGTTAATGAGTTCTGGATTATCTCAGAACTTGTGCTAGAACCTCAAAATCTTTTGGTCTAAATTTTCTAACATTTTTGTTAGAAAAGTGCCTTTAACTTTTAAAAAAGTTATGTCCAATTCTGAGGCTCTTTTATGGAAAGAAGCCATAAATAGCGAAGTTGAATCTATCTTGCAAAATCACACATGAGAATTGGTGGATTTGCCACCAAGTTGTAAACCTCTTGGATATAAGTGAATTTTCAAGAGGAAAAGAAAAGCATCAATTGACAAATACAAGGCAAGATTTGTAGTCAAAGGATATAGGCAAAAAGTAGGTCTTAATCACTTTGACACATACTCACCAGTTACTAGAATAACATCCGTTAGAATGTTAATTGTTATTGCATTTTTGTATAATTTAGAAATTCACCAAATAGATGTGAAAATAACTTTCTTAAATGGTGAGTTAATGAAAAAATTTATATGGAACAACGAGAAGGATTTTTTGTTCTAAGGAAATAAAATAAAAAATTGGTTAAATAATTACATGGTTTAAAACAAACGCCAAAGCAATATCATGAGAAATTTGACAAAAAAATAATGTCAAATAAATTTAAAATTAATAAATATAATAAATGTATTAAAAATACAAGCAAAAGTTACGTTATAGTGAATTACAAGCCATGGGGCCTTCCCTTCAAGTTTCTTGTAAAGACTTAGCAGTACTTGACATTCAAGTCTTTGATTGAAAAAGATGGCTTGGTTGCATAATTAAAAAGTTAACACTATTCACTAAAAGGCAATAATTATGGCGGTATAATTTTCAATTCAAATTTTTTCCTACAAATCAATTTTTACAATTTTTTATTACACATTTTTCAATAAAAAGTCAAAAAGTTAACCCAAACATCCATATTTTCAACCTTAATTTTTTAGTCTAAAAAAACAAAAAGTACACTTTTTTTAGTCTTCCTAAACTTGACCTTAGATTACCTAGAATAGATTAGCATGATTGGAGGAATTTTATTGTATAAAAGTATACCTTGTAATTCAATGAATTTAATTCAGAAGAAAAACATTCTATTCCTTTCTTTACATGGTATCAGAGCAGGGAAAAACAAGCACTCTGTTCTTTGCTCTCTTTCACTATTTCCCATCATCATGGCAAACGAGCAATCTTCGAATGGAGGCAAGCCCGATGCTACCAATCCATATTTCCTTCACCATTCCGATCATCCTGGCATGGTGCTTGTTTCCAAGCCGCTCAATGGGGATAATTATTCAACATGGTGTAGAGCCATGACCATCTCTTTTGAGTGCCAAATCCAAATTGGGTTTCATAGATGGTACTATCACAGCGCCAGATGCCAAGACCGAACCAAATGACTATGCATCATGGAAAAAATGCAACGATATGATCCTATCTTGGATTCTCAATTCACTCACACCAGATCTTGCCGATAGCGTTATTTTTTCAAACACTGCCCAGGAGGTATGGGAAGACCTTCAGGATCGCTTGTCTCAAAGCAATGCCCCACGTATTTTTCAGATTGAAAGGGGCATCGCTTGTCTCACTCAAGATCGAATGACTGTTGCAGCTTACTACACCAGGCTTAAAAAATTTTGGGATGAACTGGGATCCTATAATGATACTGTTTGCTCTTGTGGGGCAGACCATAAGCGACGTCGATTGATGCAATTTCTCATGGGACTCAATGAGTCTTATAGTGCAATCCGAGGGCAGATCCTCTTGATGAATCCGCTTCTTGATGTTGCCAAGGCTTACTCTTCTATTGTCCAAGAAGAGAAGCAACGAAGCCTAGGCGCTGCACGTGAAATCACGGAGACCTCAGCCATGGTTGTTCGAAGGGATGAACCGGTAGCTCTGGCTCTTCGACATGGCCAAAGTTTTTCCTCTCGCTCCAACTCATCTAATTGAAAACCTTTGCATTGCTCTTACTGTGATCGAGACCATCATGTGCGAGACACATGTTGGAAATTGAATGGGTATCCCCCAGGACACCCAAAACATGCATCAAACAGGTCCAATCAAGGAGGCACTCATTCTAAACACAACAACAATCATCAATCTCCGGTCAACAATGTCAAGGAGGGTCACAAGATACCAGAAATACAGTCGGTGACCAATGGCTTATCTGAT